ACTGGCTTTGACAAGCACTGTGGCAATTGGACAATTAAAACAGACTATCAAGGGGGGGAAAAAAGAAGAACAAATTGGGGAGGAGGGTTAGAGAAAATAGTGCAACAATGAATGAATGAAAACCCCAAATCTCTGTAAATGTTCATTAAAATTAATAAAATTTAATAAAAAATAAGCAAGCACAGAACTACCCTATGACCTAGCAATTCTACTCCTTTTCATTACTTATTTCTTTCAAGAGACTAGAAACCACTGACACGGATACATGCACACCAACATTCACTGCAGTATAATTGCTGAAAGGTGGAAACAACTTGAACCATCAACCCGAACCAAAAAAATCCTGGGTGGACTTCTTTTTTTTTTTTAATGTAGTGTAAACATAGAGTGGAATGTGACTTTGCCATAAAGAGAAATAAATCCCTTGCTACAAAATGGACAGGTGGACCTTGAAAGCATGCTTAATGAAATATCCCAGACACCAAAGAACAGATATGACTTCATTTCTATTCTCTCTTTCATTGCCATCCTGCCTGAAACAACTCATAGCTGACCCTCCACTGGCTTTCTGAAGCTGAAAATGCAAACAACCCATCTTTCTCCCAAGGAGCCACTGGTGGATTCAAACCACTGCAGAGCCTTTGGTGTTGCAGTGCAACTCCCCAGGGACAGACCACCAGAGCTCCTACTTCGCTTACATTCTCTTCCTCGTGCCATCAAGTGGGAACCAACGAAAAACTAAGCCTCCAGTCCTCCAGTGGGTTTTCAGAGGCTGGATCACATGCGAGGAGACTGCCTATCTTTCTCTCAAGGAGCAGCCGGTAGCTTCAAACTGCCTACCTTCGGATTGTCAGCACAACTCTCTACCCAGTAGACCAACAGAGCTCCCTATTTTAATTGTATTATGATTATTTGTTGTTAGGTGCCATCAAGTCAAGTCCAACTCATAGCCAACCTATGATCTGATCTGAACCCTGTCCTGTCCCCAGTTCACTCTTCTCTTTGAAAAGTAAAAAATAAATAAATAAATAAATTTTTCATTGTTACACAATCCCCTCCCAGTCCACTCCACTGTGCAGCCTTCATTCTGGACTCCTGTCATGATAATAATACCTAATCATATATCCCTTTTAAACAGTTCATCTGTTTCTATGCAGTATACATTATTTATCCCCTCTTTTCTTGGTTTCCCCCAATCTCGATGTCAGTCCCTCTTTACAACAGTGGTATTATGCAGTATTTGTCCTTTTGTGACCAAGATATTTCACTCAGCATATGTCCTCCAGGGTCACCCATTTTGTATCATAATTCATGAGTTCCTTGTTTTGTAAAGAATATTTGTGGATGAAAAAAATTTCCACATCTAAATGATCTTGCAGCTCTAAGAACTTGGGAACTAACAAAGCAAATCAACTTCTAAGTCTGTCCTTTCATTTCCTTTTACTAACTAGAACCTAAAAAGTTTACACACAAAGCCAACCAGGACGCAGGAGTTCTGTGTCAATCTCATTCACCTGGAGGTAGGTAAATGAAGCGAGGATATTAGGCACTAACTCTTCAAGGGCCAAAATGGTCTGAAGTAGGATCACATCTGCAAGGCTCAGCTGGTTGCCAACAAGAAAGGTCTGTCCGTGATCTCTTAAAATCTGTGGAATAGAAATGTTCTGCATCAGTTAGGACATTGAACAAAAAGAAACTGATGAATCAGTTCAGTATCTGAAACAGAAGGGAAACAAATATTTTGTTCTTTTGTCTTTTAATTGGATACTCTCAATTATGAACTAAACGCAGGACAGAATTTCAAATTCTCAAGGACTTCAAGTCTCCAGAATCAATTGAAACTCAATAAACCTTTACTCAATAAACTGCCCTTTAGGGACAACCTTTAGGCCTTAAAAATATCCTTTGAAGTTTTCTTAAAAATCAAATAGTTCCGTTTCACCAGTGACAAATCCATAGTGTGTGGCACTGCTCCACCAAAGGTCATGTGTCGATGGCAGTTCCAACCCACCAGCAGCTCTGAGGGAAAAAGTCGGGCAAACTCTACCTGTTATGATTTACATTCTAGTCTCAGTCTCTACAGCATTATGATTTATAGCAATGTGTTTGAGAGGGTTGTTTCAGTAAAAAATATCTGCCTTGAGCATTATACTTTTTAAAGGACTATCTCTATGGAATCAAATTGTAACAGTAATTGGAAGTATTAGCCAGGAATTTTAGAAGTAGGTTTATGTTAATAGAAAGAAACGGCTCAGAAAAGGTGAGAATGGCTGCACAATTTGAAGAATGTAATCAACTGATGTTTGCTCTCTCAGCAACAACAAAACAAAAGTTTAAAAGTTTTTTTTAAAAAAAAAGTTAAAAACAAAGATGACATGCCTAAATTAAAGAGAAGGGAAGAATTGGAGAAGAGCCAGTATCTGAGGGGTAGAAATGATCTAATATCTACTGTTTATCAGAGTGATATACTGAAAAATGAAAAGGGTATCAATCAGTTAGGAATTTAGCCTTAAGGAGATAGTCTCAAAAAACCCCTCATTGCCAACAAGCTGGAACCATCTCATCGCTAAACCTCCAGTGGGTTTTCTGAGGCGATGAACCCATGGAAGGATACTGCCCACCTTTCTCTCAAGGTGGATTTGAACTGCCAGAGAAGGCTTTGACAGTGTCACTCCCTATAGACTATGCCACCAGAGCTACCAAGAAAAGAAATTACCACTAATGAATTCAGGAGGATCAGGGTAACTGATGGAAGAAATATAAATGTTAGATGATCTCCAAGGACAATTTTGGGCTACTTCAATCTTATGTCCCAGTTCTGTGCTTATATGAACATTTGAACTCAGTCATAAACCACACCTGACTACATAAGCAAATTTCCACAAACATCTTATAACACAGAGAAAATGAAAAACACAACATGAAAAGTTCATTTTGGTTTCCAATTTGAAAGGCATATCGGTGTGGGGGTTGATAAGAAGCAATGAGTTCTTAGAGAAGAAAGAAAAATTGAAAACAAAAGGAAGTCAATGTAGTGGCCACAAGGGTTTAAGATAATTATCTCCCACCTTGTCTCCACTCATCTATAGACTGCAGAAAAGGAGGCAAGGTTGGTGACCAGCAAGTGTGTGT